ATGAGTTAACAGTTCATGAAGGAGAAGAGTCACAGCTGCAGGATATCCGCTAAACCAGTCTGATTGTCTCCACTTGGTAAGTTTGATACCAGCTGGTGATAGAGGAAAAGATAGATTTAACACTTTAAAGCAAAAAGCAATAGATCTTCTTATCATCTAAGTCAGCTTCCTGGGGAATCAAGTGTAAAAAGAAGGCACTGGTTGCCGCAGTCAAGTGGCATCACAATTCCTTGTTTCTGTTGCACACGTATCGTGGGATGCTGCATTGTCTCAGAGCATTTCAGTATTCTACAGCAGGATGCACCGGACTTGGAGTAAGTGCATCTAGATAGGAAGCCAGTGTAGTCTCTCTGCATGTGCTACACCACACTGTTGCTGACTCCTGCAGCTTTAATCACTCTCCCTTCATAATCTTCTGACAGTATCTTTTCTTCATTTGGATCTAAACCAAAATGCTCTGGATTCTAGTAGAATTGCTGCTCTTCAGTATAATCTCTGCAGTATACTGAAAGGTTTTGCATGGGCCAGATCCAGTCAATACTATATAAATACCAGTGCAAACCTTTTTCTTACAGTTAATGCAGTGATTGAGTATTTTAAAGACCATGGAATTAATTATATTTAATGGACTATGAAGACTTGTATGTATTAAAGTATTTGTATATTTTGAAGTATTTGGTGTCCACAAAATGATGGGGTTTTTATATAATATGATGGAAGACAGCAAAACTTAATTTGGTGTCGATTTTGGCTCTGAGTAATAGTAGTGGATGACAAACAAATAAGAAAGACTTTAATGAGGATTGCTCAGATTTCTCTTTGTTGTGCTTTGTTACAAAAAGAAAAATATGGTGAAATTATACAACCGTTTGGATGAAGACAAATAACACAAATTACTTCCTGGCAGGCTGAGCAGCCTTTAGATGACCTCCTGGTTAATCAGGCACTTTCACTTCATTTTCCTTCCAGGATTAAACAATTTTGAAAAACTAATTCTCAGTTTCCAAGGGATGTTCACATACATCCTCAGAAACCTGCTTTCATTCCGGTCTGAAAACTGGACGTTGTTGAGGGCAGAGTTCAAATGTTTACATAATGTTTGACTGCTGCTTAGAGTACTCCTCTAATTTTGTAGAATTTCATAGAAAAATTGCCTGATATATGGACAGCTGATAAAACTTTTTATGTTTAGATTAATAGTTAAATGCCACCTCAGGTTGGTAGCTATTACATTCAAAGGCAGTTTCATGATTTTAAGGAAGAAAATGTCTTTTCAAGAAAGTGTGTTTTCTTTAGTCCTCAGGGGAGCTCTGTCCACGTTACAGCTGTCGCTGTGAGACACTGTCAGACAAAACCCAGAAAGTAGCTTCCACTGTCCTGGGCATGCTCATGCTTTAGAAATGGGAACAGTGAGCACATGCTTGTTTCCCACATTTGACTATAAATTTGAAGTACTTCTGGTTAGTGGAGAGACTCCACACGTATCTCTGGCTAATAGCACAATACACATGCATGGCCTGTATAGCATAATACACCTCCGTTTCAGGTGATCCTGAGGCATCCCAGCTTATCCTGTCAGGTAAGATATAGGGTTACAGCTTATCTTTGTTAGAAATACAGAATTATTTTAAATGAACTGCACAAAATAAAACAAAATTTAAAATTCACCTAGTAGCACTGTAAGCCAATTACAACACTGATATATAAAGAACACACACTAAACAAATCAGATCTTCCATTTCAGAATTACTACATAATTTTCAGGCCAAGTCCTGAAAAAGGGTAACCACTTTTCAATTATGTTTTCATTTTCCTGTATCAAGTATCTCACAAATGGTAATTATTAGTGATCATGAGAACACTCTGTTCTTAGAACTCAGAATTTGGTTTTATTCCTATTTTGTTATTGAAATCATGCACTGAAATGCAACAGTCACTGGGGGAGGGAAGGTCTGTGGCTTAATTTGGAATACATCTGCAGTGACCATGGCTTGGTTTTAATGTCTGTCGATGGTGAATTAGGATATAGCACAAGGCTGAGTTCTTCAGGTGTAAGTGATCATTGTGAGCAGAGCACTGTCAGCAGCTGCGCTTGCTAATTGGCTCAATTCCTGCTCAGATCACTTTCTTAACCGGCAAAATTTAGGAACATTTATAGGAAGTAAAAGCTGACACACAAACGAGGAGCAAAGAGTAAGGATAAATATACACATCACCCGCAGTGACTGGCATTTGGGAGAAAAGCTATAGAGCCTTCGTTATTGTCTTTGAAGAGCACTTGAATTCATTGGTTGGAAGCATTGAGCTGGAGGAGAGTTTAAGCTGATATTCCTGGGGACAGGCAGTCACGCTGCACAGAGAAGTTGTTCACAGGCTATGGGGTCAGAGCAAAGCTGTTCTGAAGAAGGCTGCTGGGTTTTTAAGATTTATTTAATGATCTTACGTCCTCGCTGCATGTCTCTGTGTCCTGCACCTGCAGTGTTACTACGTGGTAGCAAGAAAGCGAGGGAAGAGAGCAGCGACTAGAGCTTCCCTTCTGTCTAACTTAAGATACAGTATCACAGATTTAACAACAGAGGGCGATACATCACTAAGAAAGATGAGAAATGCAAAAAAAACCCTCAGTTTTCACTTGGTGATTCATGGCATTTTCTCATGGAGTGTGTATTGCAGGCCTGTACTAGAGAACTTAAAGGATGGCATAAATCTGCACTCACTCCAATATCTACTAGTTCTGATGAAAGAGAGTATAACCAGCACCAGTGCCTGGGGTTATGACCCTTATTATTAATAAAATAGGATAGCTTTTTTGTCTCTCCTGAAGAACACTCCATGTTGTTATCATCTACCATGGGAAGCTGAGAAAAAGAATAATTTCCCTGGAGCTCTTGTGCCCACCCTCTCCTCACCTGGCAGTGCTTAAGGCTAGAGCAGCTCTGCGTGTGCTGTACCAGCAGCTCCCCTACTTTTCTTAAGGTACCTGGAAGAACGTCAAGCTGAGGTAAGTGTGAGCTCATCATTACTCTGTGCAGCATTTTTATTTACAGTATCTGAGCCTATAACTTTGAAAACTTACCTAATATTCAAAGTATCTTAAAACAAATTATTACAATCGTTTTCATTCAAATTGCAAATTTTGTCTTGCTAAAAATAGGTCCTATGCTTGAACTTTTCAGCATATTCCTTTTGTGTATAGCCACAGAAAAGACATTCTGCCCTTCTGGTTTAATGTAATTAGCCAAACCTGACTTTCTCAGACTCTTTATTTTGTCCTTAGACAAATCTCTCACTTCTATACTTTTTTTTTTAAGATTAGAAAATGTAGTGGTGGGAAGCAAAAACACTCCCTGCTTTGGAACATGAAGAGCTAGAATGAAAAGCTGCCATTTTCCAGAGCAGGACAGAGTGGTTTCCAACTCCTGGACTTCTGAAAGCAAATGGGGACAGGGAAGTGAGCCTGTAGTTGCAAGAACAAACAGCCATAATATTCTTAATCTTCCTGAAACTGTTAGAAAAAAAATTATATAAACCTTTGTGCATTCAAAATGAGCTCTGTCTGGGTGGGACGCAAGGCTTGCTCAAGAAGGTCTTGTTTCCCATGAATGTAGCTGTCTTATCTTCTCCTGGTATCGCTGAGAATTGTTAGGCAGCTGATTTGAAAACTTGGTCTGTGTAGAGTGTAACCGAACTAATTCTAGTATTGACCAAGGACCACATTAATTATAACTGGGCCTTAATAATTGTTGGCTTCAAATCATTTTTTATTGCTGTTAAAAATCTGCCCAGGTTCTAATGTCATTGTAGTGCAGAGCACTGGAGCATATAGCGCTAAAA